GTGTGTGTGTGTGTGTGTGTGTGTGTGTGTGTGTGTGTGCATTGTGCTGGGGAGGTATGTGTGGCATGGCTGGATGTGTATGTAGAGATAAGTGTTTGATGTGTATGTGTTATTTACTTGCCCAAATGAAAGAAACTAGGCCAGGTATGGTAGCACACACCTACACACCTACGATCCCAACACTTGGAATGTAGAAGCATAAAGATCCAGAGTTCAAGGCCAGCCAGGGCTCCGTAAGACATAAGACCCTGTCTAAGAAGAAAATGGGGGCTGAGGGGATAGCTGCCAAGCCTGACAACCTGAGTTTGATCCCTAGGATCCATATGGTACAAGGAAAGAACTAACTCCTGCAAGTTGTCCTCCATATGTATGTGTTGGTACACGCACAGCACATACCCCAAATACATATAAGATAGATACATGCAAAATTTTTTTAAAAACTTAGAGAATTGGATATGCCTGATGATGTCAAAGGTACTCATCCTAACAGGAAAACAAAAGAAATTACTATTGTTTGGGCAACTTCTGGGACTCTAGAACTACTCTAGGAGTGTTTGTGTGTGTGTGTGTGTGTGTGTGTGTGTGTGTGTGTGCGCGCACATGTATGTATGTGGTGAGTAAATGTGTGTAAGCCTGGAGTTTGAGGCCCAGAGAACAGCCTCAGGTGTCTGCCATTCCTTGAGTGGTGTCTTTTTTTTTTTTTTTTTTTTTGAGACAGGGTCTCTCACTGACCTAGAACTCATGAAATACGTTAGGCTGGCCCACCCATGAGGCCCAGGATCCTCACCCATGAGGCTCAGGATCCTCCTGTCTCTGCCTCCCCAGTTGGGGCCTTACAAGCTCTAACATGTCACCTCCTCATTGCAGAGACTGCATTTCCAGAGGAGGCTGTTTCACCTTGCCTGACTTTTGTGAGTTTGTTCCCTGGCAGTACCCTACGTTAGACTCCTTCTGCCCGTCTGCGTGGTTCGGTGAATACAGCAGAGACGAATTGGAGCCGGATGCCAGGCATCACCTTCCAAGACCCACAGCCTTGCCTGCTGCAAGGCTGCCTGCTGACCTTGCTCTCCCCCAACTGTCACTGGGCTGCAGCCGTGCCCATGACCCTGCCAGGCACTCACAGGTGCTGCCCAACTCCAGCTCCCTCTGCAGCCTCTCAGACAAGCCCAAGGCATCGGCTGGCCTCGATGCCTTTGCCACTGGGAATACTGGCATCCTCAATGCAGATTGGGGTTGCTCTGAGTCCCTGGGCCTCCCATGGGGCCTTGCACAGACGAGTTTCCACCGGGTGGATAATCTCACCCCATTTCACAGATGAGGAACTATGGCCTCAGGATCCCTTTGTCTTCCAAAAGGGAACAAAGACACGGTGTCCACCAGGGCAGAAATAAAAGCCTCTCTGGAGCCATGTAAGTTTTCATAATCGGTCAGGCATCTTTTTACCTTTTGAAAGTTTGTGAGGTTTATATATAGCCTCCATCTTGTCCCTCTGAACTCTGCGGGGCTGGTAATCAGTCACCGGGCTGAACACCTGGAACTCTGTGGGGACCATCATTAGAAGGATGCGAGGCCAGGTGTGGTTTTGGACCAGAGACCGAATGGAATGGGGAAGGTTTCTCACTTTCCAAGTTTGCTCTGCTCAAGTTAAAACAATTAACCTCCTTACCCTTCAAACAACTGTTCGCAGCTCTCCAAGAGCAAAGTAGTCAACCACAGATACCGTGTGGGAAGCAGAGGCTGTCAGCCCCTCAGTACCTCAGAGCAGCCAGCGTGGGGCACTCCTCTGATTCTAGCTCTTGTGAGGTGGAGGCAGGGGGATCGGAAGTTCAAAGCCAACCTCAGCTATGTAGCGAGATGAAGGCCACCCTGGGCTACATGAAACCTTGCCTAAAAACAAAACAAAGACTTTCTGATGCGGAGACAGGTCTGGACCTGTTCTCAGGACCTTTTGCTTTCCTGCCCTCTTTCCCACATCCATTCCACTCCCTTCTGAGCACTTACACCTTAATCTAGCAGGGATTTTTGTCTAACACTAGGGTCACCTAGAGAGGTGTAGCAATAGAGGGTTTGGCCACAGTTAGGCCTCCACGCTCACCTCTTGACGCTTTGCCAGACTGGCCAGCAGGAAGGGGAGGGCAGATGGCAAGGTTATTCCCAACCACTTGGGGTCTCAGCACTCTGAATGATGTGGCTGTCTGCACATTCCCCTTCGCAGGCTGTGACATCTCCCAGGACTCACACCCTCCAAAGCCATTAGGAATATTAATATTTTCAGGAAATCACACAGATCTTCCTACATAATTCTTCAGCATGAACTGAGCGCCTATGGGTGATTTTCACGCTCTAGTGGCCTTGTTTAATCAACACAGTAATCCTATGAGGAAGTTTGCAGGATAAGCCTGAGACTTAAAAACAGCAGCAAATAGCTCAGGTCCCACCGTGACCAGATGTCAAAGCTGAAAACCCAGCCTTGCCTAACAGGTGAGCTTGCCAGACACGATCTAAAGCCTTCTCTGATCTGCGATCTCAAGTGTAATTGTCAAGGCCATGCCAGTGATTATGAGGAGCCCCAGCTATCCCTCGCCAAATGCACCCACATCTCCTACAGGCTAGCCTTTTCCTGAGGCGGAAAGGAAACTAGGTTAGCCTGCTACCCTCTGGAAACACTGCTCACAGTTTATCAAGGGGGAGACGAGAACACTGCAAGTGTGAACCTCTGGGCACTGTTGCTGGGGACGTTAGCTAGAGCAGGCCTGGGAAGAGATTTCTGGAGTATTCCCCAGGGTTCAGCAGAGCAATCTTGGGAATATGCCCTGGGGAGTTTTTCCCAAGTTTTCAAGGAGATGTGCATGAAGGAAATCATAGAGTTGAGTGTATAGAGTTGATACCGGAGTTGAAGCAGCCTAGGGGTCCTTATTAGAAAAATGGGCAAAGTAACCTGTATCTATCAGAATGCTCTATGATAGACAGAAGGAAGGGCCATCAAGAGCACAGAAGACAGTTAAGGGGGAGGAGCTATGAAGTAAAAGGGAGGGGCTATGAAAATCAAGGGGAGGAGCTATGAGAATCAGGGGGAGGAGCTATGAAAGTCTCTGAGGAAAGATCCTATGATCAGAATGACCTGTACACCTCTCCAATCCAGTCCTGGTGAAGGGAGTAGGGACTCTAGAGACAGCTTTCGGCTTCTGTACCCTATCTGCCCGATGAAGATAGGCCTGCATCTGTGTGTGCCCTGAGGCCTCCCTGACCACCTAGGTAGTCCCAGACTTGATTACTACTATTTTCCATTGTGTCATGCTCCAGTGACAATGGGCCATGGAAAAGGAACAGAGATGCCCAGGTCAGGAAATATGAGCTTGGGTCCTGGCTCTTCTCCTTACTGGCTGTGTGGCCATAAGCAAGGTGCTTCGCTTCTCTGTATGTCCCCTTAACTCCTGGGAAGCCCAGGCTCTAAGAGCAAACTCGGTCTGCAGATCCGGGGCCAGGATGCCCGGTGGCAAAAGTCAGCTGACTCCTGAGGCGTGTCTGAGAGACTGTGGAGGGAGGTGCAGGCGGGCAGCACCTGAGAGCAGCTGCCAAGGGGCCTAAGAATGGCTGCAGGAACCCTTCCAGTTATCCATGCATCTGCTCATGTCTTCATCAGCAAGATCTGTGTGCATCCATGAACACCTGTATACCCAGTACTAAGGATGGAGCCTGGGACCTCTTACATACCAGGGCAGCACTCTACCCCTGAGTCACACTCATGGTGCCCGCCCTCCCAAAAAACACTCTGGGAACATCTCGGCCAGGCTTTCTGTGGAAGAAAACAGTAAGAATAATTCCAGCATAGAACTTCCCAGCTAGTGAAGGGAGGTGGGTTAAACAAGATGGGGAATGGAGCTGCTAGCGACATGGGGGAGAGGGGCGAGGGGACCCCAGGCCACATAGAAGTGGGACTAGGCCCCCATTGAGATGTAATGCAGGAAAGGGGGTGTCTCTGAGGAAAAGATGGGGAAACTGAGGCAGAAGTCATGAATGTGAAGGCTGGAAAAATAGAACCAACAGCAAGTGTAAGGACCCTGGACGAACCAGGAGGCCTCAGAAGGTGGGGCCAGGGAGCTGGGCATGGTTACAGCTGTGGATTTGTTCCTTCATATGCTGAAGTTCAGTCCTGTGTCACTGTTGAAATCAGTTTCTTCACAAGTATAAGAGGGGAAAAAAGGAAAAAAAAATCCCGGAGACAGAAGTATTTGCCTCCTTCCTGTCAACGGCCTAAACAGCTGCTGAGCTGCCCCGGGGTACAATAAAGATTCCAAACAGGACAGGAACAGGTGGGCCCATCTTTCCTTACCCAGCAAATGGCGGTTTCTGAGGTTTAACACCAACCTGTCTAATTGGTCGGGACCCAGCTGGGCTCTTCTGCCTAATACAGGTGGAAAGGCCCCAGAGAGGCCATGGGAGACCCCTGCCCAGCGGCAAATGGGCTTCTTCGGAAATCCCGCTCTAGTGTTTCAGGACTGAGTCTGCCTTTCGTGCAGTGAGAGCTGTGCCGGGGCCACCACAGAACCACTTTGGGTTTTAGAAACCTCTTCCTCATCGCTTCCTTTTCTACAGAACGGAAAGACTCCTGGGACTTATTGCAACCCCGTGGCCCCCTTGCTGGGATGCCAGTTCACCCTGAGGGACACATCCTGGGACCCCACTTGCTTCATCCCTCTCTGGTGCATCATTGCAGCCTCACATGCCACCACCAGCTCCTCAGAGGGAAGTAACCACACTCACCACAACACGAGGGTTGCAAACCAGAGGCACCGCATGGTGCTGTGGTCAACTGACTTTGGCCGGTCATCTGTTCAGCCGCAGCCTGTAGAGCCCACATATACTGAGGAGCCCAATGGGGTCTTAAAAAGACTATGGTTCTTAATCACACAGCACATTAGAACTTCTGGGATATTTTTTTCCCAGCACTTAGAATTAAGGCCCCACACATGCTAGGGCCTGACACTGAGCTACATACCCCAACCCTGGAATTCTTTGAAACTGTTGTATCCATTGCTCTTTCCATTGCTGTGGTATAATACAGGACAAAACCACTCAAGGGAAGAATGTCCACTCTGGCTCACACTCTGAGGTTACAATCCATTACAAGCAGGGAGAGCATGACATCAGGAGCGTGGAGCAGGTCACATCGTGTTCATAGTAGGAAGCAGCCAGATATGAATGCTGGTATTCCACTCACCTTCTCACTTTTCCCCTTTGTATTCAGTTCAGGACCCCCGTCCGAAGGATGCTTCCATTCACATTCAGGGTGGGTCTTCCTCTTCAGTTAAGCCTGTCTATATACATCCTCGTATATGCAAATGGAGACCCAAGTAATCACATAGAAACTATATTAATTACAAAACTGTTTGTCCAATGGCTCAGGCATAATTCTAGCTAGCTCTTACATTTTAAATTAACCCATTTCCATGAGTCTATGTACTGCCATGTGGCCATGGCGTTACCTCATTTTCTACATGTCTTGTTTCCTCAGAGGCTAGCTTGCATCTGCTTGACTCTGCCTACTCTCTCTATATTTAGACACACCTATAAGTGTGTCTTCTCAGAGATTCGAAAACCAGCCAAATTATTCCACAGGAGAGAATATTAGCTAGTCATACAAAGGGATGCAGGACGTTGTCTCGGGTACTTTTCTATTTCAGTGAAGGGGCACCATGACCAAGGCAACTTATGGAAGAAATCATTTGTTAAAGCTCACAACTCGCTAAGGCCCATGGCCATCACACTGGGGAGCAGGCAGGCCTGGTGTTGGGGCAGTAGCTGAGCGCTTATGTCCTCATCCATACTTCGAAGGTAAGGGAGGCAGGGATAGGTAAGAATGTTAAGTGGGAATGAAATGGAAGTTTAAACTTCAAAGCCCACCCCAGGGATACTCCTCTGCAACAAGACCACACCTTCTAGTCCTTCCCAAACAGTTCTACCAACTGGTGACCACACATTCAAATATATGGATCTATGGGGCCAGTCTCACGCAAACCACCACAGACAAACACTTGCTACAACATGGACGAACCATGAAGCCATTATGTCTAGTGAAAACGCCAGTCAGAGAAATGTGTATTAGCTAGCCATTCGCCATCTTGCAAATCTATAGGCAGGAAGTAGATGGACAGTTGCCTAGAGTTTGGTGGAGAGGGCAATAGGTTCTGACTGCCAATAGGTACACTGGGCTCTTTTTAAAGTGGCGAAAATCTTCTCTAGTTAGATAGAGGCAATGGCTGCTGTGAACAGCTAGCGGCATCGAGTTCTGTGCCTTCAAGGAGTGGATTAGGGCACATAAACTACAGTTCGAGAAAGTTGCTAAAATATATCCAGTCTGGACCCTACCACAATTAAATTGATGCATTCAGGGGTTAGAGCCTCTCTCTCTCTCTCTCTCTCTCTCTCTCTCTCTCTCTCTCTCTCTGTGTGTGTGTGTGTGTGTGTGTGTGTGTGTGTGTGTGTGTGAGAGAGAGAGAGAGAGAGAGAGAGAGAGACAGAGAGAGAGAGAGAGTTTGAATTTGTTTTTGTGACCAACCCCCGCTCCTAGGCCCTGCTATTCTGCAGCAGACAGCAGTGAGAGAGAGCCACTACCAGGCCTACTGTCTGAGGCAGCAGAAGACACTGGGATCCAGGAAGCCTCAGCAATCTTCAATGTCACTGGCAGATTTGTGTTCCCAAGCATCCTCTGTGCCAGGTCACTTAGTGATCCCAGATGCCACAGTCATCTACCTGATACCCCAGGCTGGACGTGTCCAGGTCTCCCTGACCCCATGAATGTCCCAACGGCCTCACCTGTCAGGACGTCTCTTCTAGGCCACTGTGAGCCCCGTAAAGCACTCGGCTGATTGTGAGTCTCTTCTGGCTGTTCTTCACGCTTCACTTCTCCCACCTACTCCACAAGTCGGCTTGTTGCTCCGTCTGTTTACTTCCAGCCAGTTTCTTCTCCATTATGGATCTGCGTATATGAGTGCCACATTTACACGGGATGCACAAAATCAGCCCTGTCTTCAGCTCAAAGCTCCCATCTCTTCCATCTCCACAGCGAGCTAGGAGAAGCCATTCATCACAGGAGGTGGAAGCCCTTAGGGAAGCCAGGGTAATCAGCTGTCCATAATGCCCTTTCGAGTTAGATGTCTGTTTAAACTGTGAGGATTGTGAGTGGGTGAGGGTGTGTGTGTGTGTGTGTGTGTGTGTGTGTGTGTGTGTGTGTGGTGTCGGGAATCAAATCCAGGGTCTTGTGAAATGATCCTTGGAGGAATCTTGATTACTAGTTAATATCCAGGATAGGAATATAAGAAGCAGATGCCTGATGCCATTGTTATGGGGGACTCTGTCAGGAAATTAAAAATAAGTTGCAAACTGGGCTTCATGAGGTAGCTCAGCAAGATATATTAAAAGATAAAGTTAAGCGTGTTTTCAAAAGAGGAATTATCTTTTTTTTTAGCTTCTGCTTGGTGCTTAATTGAACTATACTATGTGATAAATTAAGCACCAGTGAAATTACAGCTAAAAGCCAGGAGCCTGGTGCTCAGGGCAACCACTGAGCACATGCACTGAGCTTCTAAAGTCTACAGAAAGTAAGCCTTTCCACGTGGACTGATGGAGATGCAAGGAATCCATGAATTCTCTAGAAGGCAGAGAGAAATATAAAGACTGGTCTCCTTTTCCCCACATTCCTCGCAGCTCCTTTCATGGCTCTGCCCCCTCTGTGATCTGCTGCACGACTGGAGAGGCTCTAAGTCCCAGATCAGGCAGCCACACAGGCTACTGGTCACGTGCTGTGTCACAGTATTGAGGCAGTAAAACAGGGGAGCAAATGGACGCACACCAAAGGGAAAACTACAGCGGCCGTTTGCCTCCCGAATCTCTGCTCACAGTAACTAATGCAGTCCCATGAGAGCTACACCCATCCCTCTCGACCTCTCACCTCAGAAAGGAACCTTGGGGTAGAAGGGGGCATGGGAACAGGAAAGACCTTGCCACTCTGGAGTCTGGCTGAAGCCTCCTGACCCTGAAAAATCGAGACTTTCAATATAGGGGATTGGGAATGACTCATTGGACAAAGCACAGCATAAAGACTGGCAATTGGATCCCAGAGCCCACCCAAAATCCCGGGCTTTGGAGGTGGAGACACAGGATGCCCAGGGCAAGCTGCCTAGCTAGACGAGCTGAACCAGCTAGCTTCAGGTTCAGTGAGAGTCTGTCTCAGGACATCGAGTGGATGACAAGCAAGGAAGAAGCCAGACTCACCAGCCTCTGGCTTCCATATGGGCACCTGTACATGTGTTCCCATACATGTGAGTGTTGTGTGACGTGTTATTCTTTTGGCTTTTTGAGGGGTTCACTACCCACCTCCCAAATAAATCATACATGGAGGCTTATTCTTAGTTAGGAATGCCCAGCCTTAGCTTGGTTTGTTTCTCGCCAGCTTTTCCTAACTTGAATTATCCCGACTACCTTTGCCTCTGGGCCTTCTCCTTTTCTTACTTCTGTGTAGCTTACTTTCACTCCTACTCCGTGACTGGTTGGGTGACTGGCCCCTAGCGCCCTCTGTTTGCTCTGTTGTTGCTCCTCTTCCTTCTTGTGTCTCCTCTTTATCCCCTCGGCCTGCCAGCCCCGCCGGTCCTTGCTCCTGCCTCACTACAGGCCGTCAGGTGTTTTAGGCAAAGAATCACAGCTTCACAGAGTTAAACAAGTGTAGCATAAACAAAAGTCACACACCTTAAAATAATATTCCCCAACACGTAAGACTCTGCATACACAACACAGGTATACACACACACATAAAGGAAAGGTAAGAAGAACTCCATCATACTTAACCACATTTGCTATGAAGGCTGTTGGCACAGAGACAGTGTTGCTTTCTTAAAATTACTTATTTTATTATTTTTAACCATGTGTATGTGAGTAAGGTCTGTGCGTGGGTATGCCCACATGCACTCAGGTGCCATAGAGGCCAGAAGAGGGCATCAGGGCCCCAGGAACTGGAGTTGCCTGACAGTGACAGAAACTACTTGAGCAGAGATGGCTACCGTATCTTCAGCATGGAGGCCAGACTGGCAGCCCCAACACCCTCCAAACCCTATTTGATTCCCTTCTTTGTTTGATATCTTTCATGGAGGATCAGACTTTACAAAATCCTCTCTGATCCCTGTGAGATCCTGGCGGGGCAGGGGGTGGGGAGGTAGTGGCATATTTCACAGGATCACAGGGAGTATTTCCAAGTTCTGTGCCCTGTCCGCAAAACCTTATCTGAGAGCTGCAATGAACCACTGTCGCCCCTGTGTGGCAGCCTGGCATCAGGTCATGGTCAAGCGTAAAACTCTCCTGCTCTCCTGGCTTCTCTCTGTGGTTCACGAGCACCAAGGTGAGCTCCTAAGCTGCTTGGAGGAGCTGCAACTCCTACCTGCAGCCATTCCTCTGCCAAGGACAGGTAGAAGACCAATGCCGACAGGGGCTTCTTCTTCGCCATGACCTCTCTTGTTTCGATTCTTTCCTGGGTCACTTCATCTATCTCCCCTCTCTCTCTAACTAGCCTGTCGTCCCACCTTTGCTCACTCAGACAACAGTGGGTCTCGGCTCGGGCAGTAAACAACAAGACGCCTCGAAGGAACCTGAGCAGAGAAGAAACATCGCTCGTTTCTCGAATTATCTGAACTGGAGAGAAACGGATTCTAGCCGAAGATTCGGCGGTGGAAAAACAATACATTGCTGCCACCTAGAGGTAGCCAGCCTCAAATGCAGAAGCTATGGCCCCCAACAGAAGGAGTAGCGGGGTCGGGGAAGTGGAGTCGACAGGGAAGCGGGGCAGATCTGCCCAACACAAAGGCATGGGGTAACTGTGTAGTGGTGCTGAGAAAGTAGCTTGATGTTAGCAAAGGCCTGGAAAGGACTTTCAGGGAGGTGGTTACGTGAAGACCCTGGACCCAACCGGGCTTGCAAGCCCTCAGTAATGAAATCTCTCAGGGAGGACCGGAGACATCCCTATCTAGCCACTGAAATCTCTCCTACAACAGACTTGCGAGAATCGGTAGCTCTGTGAGGAAAGTGACTGATCAGCAACAACTTGGAAGGAGAAGCACCAGACGGGGACAAGAGTGCGAACTTGTCTCTGGTTGAGGTTAGCACTCAGAGCCCAGCCTGCTGGCCTACACAGGTTTCCCCCTAAGGACCCTGGGGTTCACAACACACCAAGGAGCAAAAAAAAAAAAAAAAAAAAAAGAAAAAAGAAAAAGAAGGAAATAGAGCGACCATGAAGATGAAGACGTTTTGAGGATTGGACCTGGGCCTTCTTCTCTGAATCCCGTTACTTCCGTCAGTCGCACTACAGAACTACAGAACAGGATTAAGGATTTAAGTACTTCATTGTTATGATATTACATAAGAGTTTCTCTTTCCTTCCAAAAATGGAGTATACTCCATTTTCCCTGAGTCATTGAGTCAGGGAAAGTTTACCGTTAGCTCAACTTCCTTCCTCATGACTAATGTTTTCTTAAGAACGTTTTTCGAGAGCCAGATAGATGACTCGGCAGCTGAAGGTGCTTGTGGCACAAACCTGACTGAGTTTCATCCCCAGAAGCCCCTTAAAGGGGGAAGACTACAACCTCCGACACATTCTACAATGGTGGTGAGCAAAATGCCCTTAGAAGATTCCAAGTGAAAAACAGACTTTACTCCTGCCGCAGATTTGCAAGATCCCTTAGAAAATACCAAAAAAAGCATAACACAACCATTCAAATGAAGACTTCCAGGAGATGGGTGTGTGCTCTTACTTTGACACATAGATAGGCCTTCCAAAAATAAACACTCGAGCTGGGGAGGTGGCTAAGCAGTTAGGGGGACAGGCTGCTCTTCCACTGGACCTGGGCTTGACCCCCAGCACCCACATAATGGCTCACCACCTTCTGTAACTCAGTCCCAGTAGGCCCAGCGACTCTTCTGACCTCCCAGGACAAGAACATGATGCACAAACATTCATGTAGGCAAAACACCTATACACATAAAATAAAATGCTTTAATTTTTAAAAAGAAGGGTGAATAGTGCACCAGAGAGCATCCCCCTTCTCTCTGCTTTTCGTTCCATTCAATATTAGTGGTGCTGTCTCTCTTCAAGACTGTTCTCTCCCACCCCAAGCCCAACTCTCCTCCCTGCATACCAATCTTCTTCCAAAACACCTCCACAAACAAAACCGGAAGCTTCCCCATTTTCTAGTGACCCTGGAACTGGACAAGTTACTTTCCATACTTGTTGACTGATTGTCAGTTTGATGAAGAAGTACCCGGGGCATCTAGGGGAGCACAGTTGGGTGTGTCTGTGAAGAGAGGGGGAAAGACCCATTCTGGCTGTGGGCAGCATTGCTCCACTAGGGCTGGAGTCTTGCACTGAACAAAAGCCCAAAGGCCAGCTGAGCATCGGGATTCTGTTCTGTTTCCTGATGCTTTAAGATGTGAGCAAGCAGCCTCACCCTCCTGCAGCCATGGCAGAGAGTGGTTGCTGCCACTGCACCTCCCACTAAGATGGACTGCACCCTCAAACTGTGAGCCAAACGAACCCTCCTTCCCTCAAGCTGATCCTTATTACACATTCAGTTAGAGCCTAGTCAGGGCTAGTCCGTTGAGTGAGCACAGCCCTAAAACTTCCAGCAGCTCTGGTATTCTCTGCCCTGGTTCGTTTCCCATCACACTGGCAAAGGCTGTTGTGTTCCATTTTGCTTGACACAGATGCTCACTAAGTTGCTCAGGCAGACTTTCTACTTGTGGCCTTCCTGTTTCCATCTCTAAACAACTAAGATTATAGACTTGTGACATTAAGTATGGCTTCTCCAGTATTCTCAAAGGTAGGAAGGAAACTGGGGTTTGGAGATACGTGTCAGCTCCATGCAATTTTATTTGGGGAGAGCATAATCTAGCTTAGCAAATAAAAAGGCAGATGTTGAAGTTTAATTCAAAACAACA